ACGGTACTCCATGTATTGTAACCTGTAAATATCACACAGCAAACTTCAGGCTGGTGGCCTGTAGTCTTTGGTGGGTTGAAACTTGCATAGTAACTGATCAAAGGCTTTTTGAACATGGCAGTCAGAGGAGCATCATCCAGCCACACAGTTGTTACTTCAACTGTTCAACAGCGACACATGAGAGTGTTGGATAAAATCAGCAAAATGTGTTCTAGTTTTTAAAACAACTGCAGGAGAAGGAAAATGCTGAGAAAGCAAAGCAATTCTATTAGTGAAGGAACAATCTGACGACCCACCTCTAGAAAGGAAATGCATTTTTAATAGAGTATTCCAGCAGTGTGAAGTGAAATTCTTTAGAATCCATACTGTGAAACAAATTGCTGGGATGCCCACCTTTGCTACTGACTTCTGTCATTTCAGAGCAAACTGGATACATCATTTAAGACTTTCCTTTTCAGTCCCCCCCCCCAAAGGGTAGAATCACCTGTATAAATTAGTTAATTCAAAATTTCATAGCTTTAAGACTTACAAGATACTGTAGGTATCAGAAACCAGGAGAGACACGGAGGATATAGTCACAGAAAGGCACAGTGTGTGGAAACATGTGTTTTTTAGCACATAATATATCATTGGAGTTAAGACCGAAATTGTTAAGTTGTGGATGAACATATCAGACGACACAGTGATTCTTCAAACAGCTCTTGTTTATTCACAGGCCAGGACAGAACTGAACTGAAGGGTTCAGTCAGCCTGCTTATATAGAGCTCCAGTACAACGTAACTCTAACAATTTTCTAAAACTATCCAATCACAGAACGTCACTTGTGATCCCTTATTTGCATAACTATCTACAGTATCCCCCTGCTGGCCCAGGGTGAGAACTTCAGTACATAACAGAAATTATGTAGGACAATGTCAGGCCCATGTCTTTAACTGTGCAGGTCTGCTTCTGATCAGGTGAAAGTGACTTCAAGTGCAAAAAGGAGCACAATGGGGGTTTAAATTCATAGTTCATTCTCCTGTCTTCTCCCTTGAAGATTGTTCCCCAAAGTAATTTTGCCAAGCCAGGGTTTTCCAGAGAGAAATCAGCATAACGTGTCTGTTTTCTTTATGTTTTCTGCCAAGTTCAATTGTAACGTTTTTGTTGTTTTTAATTACAAACATTTATTTTCAGATTTTGTGGTTCATCAGATTTTACCCTACCAGTCAGTTTCAGTGGACACATATCACTCAAACAATGATGTTTATGTCGCCATTGCCCAGCCCAGCATGGAAAATTGCATGGTGCTAGAATGGGATCACATTGAGAAGAACTTCAGGAGTTATGACAACATTACTGGTAAAAATGAACACACAATTCTTATTTGTTATATTACTTAATTGATTATTAGTGTGTTTTGAATAGGTCTTTTTTTAAAAAGTATCCGTGTATCAGGGAAAAAATGCGTATTGAAAAGAATATCTCTTGCTGATCTCTGCTGAATTTAGCTTGGATCCACTGAAAAATAAAAAAAATAGTTTAGTCTAGTTCACTAAAACAATGGTTATCATCATGATGGATAGAATATGAGTTCATATATTGCAGAATCCTCAGAGGGTCACAAGATGCCACACTCTAGTTTGACCAAGAAATGGAATGCAAAGCACAGCTATGCAGCAATAAGTAGACTTGATTCTTCAGTATGGAGTAGAATAACACTATGGGCCGAAGTAGATGAAATATTAGAGATCAAATCTCTTTTAATTCTTAAAAAAACAAAATGCAACCCTCAACATCAGAGGTGGGGTGTGTGTGTTAAATTCAAACCTTGGAACTTAGATAGGGGGTATTAACCTTCTTGCCATACTTGTCCTCAATATAGGGGGGGCGGGGCTTCCAGACTCACTATTTTGGGGTGGGATTCAATCATAAACTGGCAAATTCAGGGTATGCAATTATAGTTGATTGGCATTTTTATGCAACAACCCAGCTTGACCAAAATACTGGATATATATATTTTTGCTATAAAGGAAGTGAGACAGAGATACACTGGACAGTGTGGAATAAGGCTTGCTTTGACACAATGTCATCTGACCTCCCCATAAGCAAATTAGAATGAATGCTCATCAGATAGCCCATCAGATGTAATCTAATCTCCCTGCAATTAGAGGTGTCTTATAGAGACAGCCCCAATATTGTTGTTTGGCCCTGCCCAGATCAACCAAGCATTCTTTGCCCCCTCTTATCTTGAGTCCTCTTCCTGAAGGCTTGAGCTGGGTGTTTTTTGGTCTCCAACCAAATCTTCCATGTTCCCTCATACAAACACTTTGCTCGCACCTGTGAGGAGATGAGGCAAGAGCAGCAACAAAATTATTGCTTAGAATTGTAGAGTTGGAAGGGACCTTGAGGATCTGTGCAGGTCCTGGGGGGGGGGGCGGGGGGTTACCGTGCGGCGTGGTCCGTGTCCGGTCCGAGGCTGAAGCGGGGTCCAAGGCAGGGAGTCGGGTGTGGTCAGGAAGTCTGGCAGAAAGCAGGACAGGGTGCCAGCAGGAACAGGTAACCAACGATGTTGCTCCCGCAACCTGGGACTGGGCTGACTGGCCTTTATCTCCTCTGAGGCATAGGGCAGTCCCGGTCCACAGGTGACTCGCCTCTCCTGGCCTGGAGGCGAGCACTCCTCCTGCAAGAACTTAGTTCCCTCCGCCTCTCTGCCCTGAGCCTCTGCAGCTCAGGAGAGGCTGGAGGGTTACTGGACCCAGAGGCAACCTCACCTTCCCCTGACAGGGCTGGGAGAGGAGCACCTGCAGGCAATGGGTCCTCGATCACCTCCGGAGCCAGAGCGGATTCAGCTGGTGTCTGCTTCTGAGGATCCAGCACAGGTGAGAGCCCTTCAGGTTCAAGCCCCTGCCCCGGCTCAGCCGGCCCTGGAGGCGGGGACTCCTGTGCAGGCTGGGATTCCTCAGGTTCAGCCTCTGAATCAGATTCCCAGGCCATCACAGGATCATCTAGTCGAACCACCTGCAATGCAGGAATATGCAGCTGTCCTATACGGGGACTGAACCTGCAACCTTGGCGTTATCAGCACCACACTCTAACCAACTGAGCTATCCAGGCTGATGCGCTTGAGAAGAATGAATCACAAACCTTTGTAATGAAAGATGCTCCATTGCATTTATTCATTTACTTCTCTCACTTCATGGGAGTCTATCAATTTGGCAAGTAGGAATCCACAATGGCCAACTCAAAATGTTAGTCAATCACTTCCTGCCCCTTTCTTCCTCCCATTTCCACCTTAAGACATGATGATGATGTTTTCTTCAAATCTTCTCCTTCCCTTCCCATTCTGTTCTTCCTCTTTACACATGACAGCTCAAAACAAGCACTGCTCCATGTTACTAGTTGCTAGATAATAAATGACAGCATGATGCTTATTGAACTGAATTAGGTCTGATTATGGTAAACAGGCCCGTTAGCATGCAAGAAACTGTTCCAATTCACTGTCATTCCCCATGCTCCTGGGGACACCTCTGCCAAAAAATCTAGACTCTGAACTAAAGTAGGGAGGTCTGAACTGATCTATCCTTTTATGTCTTAACTAGACTTTAGGGCAGAGATGGGGGAAATTGTAACTTATGAGCAACCTTCTGGGAGCCTTACGCCAGTAGAGAGTGGGACCAGAGGCAAAAGTAGATGAAACAATGGGTGTGTACAGTACAGCAGGCAACACAAATTTCATGGGTTTACACACACACACATACACACACACACACACACACACACCTCTTCATCCTCTACCCAAGGAAGCAATAAGTATTATTGCTGCTTAAGGACAGATTTCAGCCAAGCCAAATACTCATTTCTGGACATTTAAAGCATTCCTGACACCAACAATTAAAAACAATCACAGACATATTGTCACGGTTGCTTCATTCGCTGGGCATTTACCGTATTTTTCGCTCTATAGGACACACTTTTCCCCCTCCAAAAATTAAGGGGAAATGTGTGTGCGTGCTATGGAGCGAATGCAGGCTCCTTGGCTTCAGTGATAGCAACGCGAAGCCTCCAAAGCGCAGAGGGAGCGCTCCCTCCACACTCCTTGGCTTCGCGTTGCTTCAGGGATAGCTGCCTGAAGCCTTTGGAGTGCAGCGGGACCTCGCGCTGCGCTCCAAAGGCTTCCGGTTCCTTTTGCTGAAGCTGGGAGAGCAAGACTCTCCCGGCTTCAGCAGAGAGGGAGAGCTGCGCAGCGCGCCTTAAGCCCAGCGGGAGGAGAAATGGAAGGGTTTCTGTTTCTCCTGCCGCTTTGCTGAAGGGGCGCTGAGCAGAGAGGGGGAGATTTTTTTTTTCTTGTTCTCCCCCTCTAAAACAAGATGTGTCCTATGGTCGGGTGCGTCCTATAGAGCGAAAAATACGGTAGGCGTTCCATGCATGGTTTGCTACAGTTCAAGCAAGTGGAGTGCTGTAGGATTTCATGAGAGTCCGAAAGAGGAGCTGAGCCTTTTGAAAATGGATGGGATTAAAACAACATGCATGTGCCCGGTTTTTATGAACACTGACTCTGTAAAACTCCTTAAGGCAATGTGCCCTTTGGTGGAGGTGGAAGACTCAGCCAAAGCATTAATGGAAGGAAGACTTACTAACCAGAAAATGATTTTTGTTCCATGGTGGGCCAAATTTCACCAGCTTATGAAGTGTTTGCAGAACGTGCTTACAATACCGTCATGAATGTTGTTTCAAATTATTTAAATGATTAAACGATTGGTTAATTCCACAATATGATGGGGGCGGGGAAAAGGATGGCTATAGTAAGGGGTGTAGCTCAGGGTTATATAGAGAGATTTGAGGCCGCATTCAGCTCCCCATCCCTGCTTTAGGGGACTGTTGGGACACATCCCTCAGAAGGGTGGATCCCTTATTGCCCTGCAAGGTCAGGTTCTTCACAGGATAGGGGAGTGAAGAAGCATCTGGATCTCTTCAGGATCATTTTAAGTGAGCTGGTCAAGCCAAGGCGTCTGACCAAAGGAGTGAGACAACACTGCAAGCCAGAGAAACTGGCTGATTTTTGTTCCTGTGGGCAGGTGAGGAAAATGTAACATGAGAAGCAGGTAGTAGGAACTAGAATCTTATAATAACTACGCAGTTAGGAATACACTGAGGCAAAGCAGACACTGTCAGCTGTGCTCCGTATTTGCTGTGTTCTGCAGACCAAGTCAGCTAACAGAAAACGGAGGTTTGACTGGGGACAAATGGCAATAACCAGTTGCACTGGGCATGGGATGGTGCAAGGCCAGTAAAGCTGATTTGGCACAAGAAGGAGGCCCGTAGTTTTAGACACAGTCCATTTATTTACATACTGCATATGACAAACTCAGAATGCATTATGCTCAAAGCAATTCACAAAGTAGACAGTTTAAGATCAGTGTTTAATAAGTAAACAGAATACACTGCAATATACCATGTACATTTTAGCAATTACGATTTATTTATAACATATCAAAACATACCAACATGTCAGCTAACAGTATCCGGTACCATTGATACTAGCATTGTACCCAAATTAAGGCACCTAGCAATAAGAAAGCTTACCCACACCAAACTAACAGCTAAAAAGGAGAAAAATAATACAAAGAAAGTCAAACTACTCTTTTTTTAATTGAGAAGCAAAGCAGCTAGTAAGCCTGATCTTTATTAAAGCTGTTGCAACAGGGTGCTCCCCCCACACGCAGGAGAGAGGAGGAGAACCCTGAACCATGCGCACAAGCCCTTATATAGACTTTTGAACTCCTCACCCTGGAGCCCCAAACCACCCCTCCATACATCATAAATACATCACAGAAGGGGTGTAGCCCAAGACCACCTCCAGTACATCATACATACATCAGAAGGGACAGTCTAAAACAGAATCCTGAGTGTGTTGTTTATCTCCTGTCTGCCAGGTTACCTGATTGGATTACCTGGGCATCCTGGCCACTCTTTTGTTATGATAACTACCGGTACTGAATTCCTGAATCCAGGCCACAGGCTCACCCTATTCCAGGGGTCAGCAAGGCTTATCGGGCACGCCAGATCACTCCCGCAGAGATCCTCTGTGGGCTGGGCCAGTGCAAGCGCAATGCCGGAAATCGCATCTGCGCATGTCTGCGGCGCTGGAAATTGCTTCTGCGCATGTCCAGACGCTGGAAAGCGCGCATGTGCAGAAGCGATTTCCAGAGCCGCAGAAGAGAGTCCCTGCGCTGCGCTAAGTCAAACTACTCTTAGCCTCTAACCAAGCATGCTACATCACTATGCACAAATGCAACCAAGATGTCCCAATTAAAAGGGACACTTTTTCCAGATGAGGCCCACTCCCCTCACTTGACCCCATCTCTAGCTTTGAAAGAGAAGGCACAATAACCACAAGGCACTTCAGACAACCCACCCTGTAATAGAAGGAGACCCTTTTCTCACCAGGTTCTAGACAGCATAGCACGAGAAGAGGCAAGATGGAGAAAACTTCTCCCCTGCCAAAGGTTCTCACTGACATGTATTAGATGCTCTAGCTCACCCTCACAGTGGTTTTGCTCCCAAAAGATCTGTGGTCTCATCCTGACAAAGAGTTTTTAAGAGGTTGACACTGCATTCCTATGAATGTCTACTCAGAAGTAAAACCTGTTGAGTTCATGGAACTTATTCACAGGTAAGTGTCCAGGATTGCAGCCAAGGAATTGTTCAGCACTGCCTGTTTGGTGATCCTCAGCTCATATTTTCATTGACCTTTCACTTGAAAAAAACAAATACAAAACACCATGTTTGTTGTTTGTTCAAGTTAGTCAATTTATGGTGTTAGGTGAAACTTAAAAAAATGTTGGTGTTATAGAAAGATGATGTTCCCCTTAGCAAGGCAGGAAGTACAGTGGTGCCTCGCAAGACGAAATTAATTCGTTCCGCAAGTTTTTTCTTCTTGCGAGTTTTTCATCTTGCGAAGCACGGTTTCCCATAGGAATGCATTGAAAATCAATCAATGCGTTCCTATGGAAACCGACTTCAGACCAGGTACGGGGACAGTCTGTCCCCCGACCTCTTCTGAAGGCTGGGGGGGGGGACAAGGGCTTTTCTTCCCACCCCCAGCATTTTAAAAAACCCCGGGACAGCGGAGACTTCTCCGCTGTCCCAGGGCGATCTTAAAATGCTGGCGGGCGGCAGCGAAGCCTCCGCTGCCGCCCGCCAGCATTTTAAAAAACCCCGGGACAGCGGAGGACTTCTCCACTGTCTGGGGCGATCTTAAAATGCTGGCAGGTGGCAGCGAAGCCTCCGCTGCTGCCCGCCAGCATATTAAAAAACCCCGGGACAGCGGAGGACTTCTCCGCTGTCCGGGGTGATTTAAAAGCCCCCGGGAAGGCAGGCAGGGGGGAGCAAAGACTTTTGCCCCCCGCCGGCCTTCAGAAGAGGTCCTGGACCTCTTCTGAAGGCTGGCGGGGGGCAAAAGTATTTGCTCCCCCCCCCGCCTGCCTTCAAAAGCCGTCCGGGATAGCGGAGAAACGAAGGCTGGCGGCGGGAGGAGGTCTCTCCACCCCGCCGCCAGCCTTTGGAGGAGGTCCGAGGACAGTGGGGAAGACGCGCTGCGCTTCCCTGCTGTCCCGGAGATTTCCCTATGGGCTTTCGTCTTGCGAAGGAAGCCCATAGGGAAATTTGTTTTGTGAAGCGCCTCCAAAACGGAAAACCCTTTCGTCTAGCGGGTTTTCCGTCTTGCGAGGCGTTCATCTTGCAGGGCACCACTGTAGGTTGCTGTATAGATAGGGCATTTTTAGGGTCAAATCAAGTCTATTTCAGCATGGCTGATTCTTTTCAAAGAAAGGGCATTCTTGCTGATCAGCAGCAAACACCCAAGGTTGTTATGGCTGAAAGGCTACTATGCTGAATTTTAAATCTGTAAATGTAGCAGTCCTTTCATTCAGTAGCTCTGCACCAGTCATGAATGCTCTTATGCTCTCCAAGATGTGTTTCCAAGACTGCTTTGGTGGATGCCTCTAGTCACAACATTTACTGGAAGGACCAGTACAGTTATTTAAATGAGCTAACAACAGGAGGGATCCATAAATATGACTGGCAGAGTTGACTCCAGTATTCCTTGTTTGGGACTTCAAGAATCACACGGGTTGGGATATAGCCTGGTGAACTATCATCCATTGGGTATGCTCAGGCTACGACTCCCTGTACAGCAGATGGGAAACTTGTGGTCCTTCAGTTTTCAGGCTACAATTCCAAGATCCCTGAACATTGGCCATGTTGGCTGGGAATGATGGAGGACCACAGGTTCACCATCCTTCCTCTACAGGCACAGAAGTTACTCTTTTTTTGCTGTAAGTATTAGGAATCTGGCCTCTTGCCTTTACCTGATCAACAGAGGAATAATTTGACCTTCCTGCATTTCAGGCTCTGGCTACCAGCTCAAGCTAGAGAGTTTTCTAAGAACCTTAGCTTGATTGCCTAGATCAGAGTTGAGGAGTCTGTAGCCCTCCAGATGATGACAGACTCCAGTTCCCATCAGCATAATGACTGATGGTCAGAGATTATGGGAGTTGTACTCCAGCAACATTGTAAAGATCTATCTTTTTGCCCTGGCTTTCACTGACCCTTAAGATTGTTTTTAATTCCCAGAACTGCTACTTTAGATGCTTTTATACTACTGTTACACTACTGATTTTATGTTGTATTCTTGTTTTAATGATGTACACCAAGTAGATAATAGTTTTAAAATATTAAGTGGTTTATAAATGCTTTTAAATAAATGAATAAATAAAACAAATGGAGGGCCTGCTCTAGATTTTGATATAGCTGTCCAGAGCATCAGACTGACCCAAACATTTCTCCAGTATTGAAGTTTTTAGCCCTACCAACAACATAATCCATTGGGTCCTCTTTAATGTTGACAGTGGGGCATTTCAGATCTTCAGAGGCAAGGTTAATATGGTATTCTCAGTAGAAAGAAACATGGTCTCTTCATAACTATCTTGACTGCCTGGATTATGTTGGTTTCATTCAAAAACAATGATGAATTGGTCAATATATTGTTTAAAAGATTTAATTGTACTCTGCTGATACTGCTACTTTGTTTGAGCCAACAGGTCAGTCCATAGTGGGATGCAAAGCTATCTTGATTGATGATCAGGTTTTTGTGGTGGTAGCTCAGCTTTTCGGTGGCTCACACATATATAAGTATGAGGAAGGCTGGACAAAGTTTGTCAAATTCCAGGACATAGAAGTTTCCCGCATTTCAAAGCCGAATGACATAGAACTCTTTCAGATAGAGAGTGAAACCTTTTTTGTCATCGCAGATAGCTCAAAAGCTGGTCTGACGACAATTTATAAATGGAACAACAAGGGATTCTACTCTTACCAATCCTTGCATGAATGGTTCCGGGACACAGATGCTGAGTTTGTTGATATAGATGGAAAATCTCATCTAATCCTGTCAAGCCGCTCACAGATTCCCATTATCCTTCAATGGAACAAAAATTCCAGAAAGTTCCTCCCACACAGTGAGATACCCAACATGGAAGATGTGCTGGCTGTGAAAAGCTTTCGAATACAGGACAACCTGTACCTCTCACTTACAAGATTTATAGGCGACTCCAGAGTAATGAAGTGGAATAGCAAACAGTTTGTGGAAATCCAAGCTCTGCCTTCCCGGGGCGCCATGACCCTTCAGCCGTTCTCCTTTAAGAATCATCACTACCTAGCCCTGGGAAGTGACTACACCTTCTCCCAAATATTCCAGTGGGATAATGAGAAGCAGCTCTTCAAAATATTCAAGGAAATCTACGTGCAGGCACCTCGTTCGTTCACAGCTGTGTCAACCGATAGAAGAGATTTTTTCTTTGCTTCCAGCTTTAAAGGCCACACGCAAATATTTGAACACATAATTGTTGACTTGAGTTTATGAAGGAGCTGTGGGAGGGAGGTGGGAGGGGGCAACTCATGTACAGTGACATTTTCACATAAAAACAAATCAAAAGGGCGGATTACTCATTTCCTGAAGGTAGGATGTGCCTGTGGCATTAGTCAGGAGTTTTCTGAACTTTATAGAAGTTTGCATATTTAATCAGGGATCGCATTAACTTGGTTAAATGCATGCCATGCCCATTTTACCATTGGTAAAGACACTTTAAAGCCTATAATTACTCGGAAAAAGTGTGCAATGCATTAGAATTAATTCTAACACATCTACAACACTGATGTAAAATCGAGAATGGAGATGGGAAACCAAAAGAGGCAGAATAGCCATGCGTAGAAAGAAAAGAAGAGGAAATAACTCCAGTGTGCCAATCCTCCTATGAGCTGATCTTGGCAGAAATCATATTTACGGACTAACTCAAAAAGCTTGTTTGGGATTTGTAAAAGTTAGCATCGAGATGAAAATGCTGTTACATCGTCTTTGCTTCATGCTGGTCAAGGAAGGCAGCAAGAAAAGGAGCTCTGCTGTTTGGCCTCTGGAGCAACTGTGATAGGAGGAGCCTCTAGAGAGCCCTGTCTTTTCAATGCTCAGTCTGATTTAGGGGAGGAGGAAAGAGTGGACATGTGATCTGTTCCCTAAATCTCTCCCAGGCGGCTAGTTCACAGCAGCTCCACATTCAGGACTTCATCTGAACTAATCCAACCCACCTCTGCTCATATTTATGGCCTGACCACTTGTTTTGGAAGGCATACAGCTGCTGCCAATCCACACCTCTCAGATGTTTAGTAAAAGTAGCAAGTGGTGTGATGCCACCACATCCAGCATTTCCTACTCCCCATTTTTTTTAACATTGGCTGTTCCCTCACATGGACCTGGATCAAGCCAAAGTTAAACTTTTCAAAGTACAGTTGATTTCACTGGGACAGAACAACACATGTGCTTCATTCTCCCATTGAAAGACTTGCTGCTTATCTTTGGCAGGATCATGCCCTGTTAATTCTGCCTAATTCCTTTCATTTACTTCCTGATTACTTTGGACAAGGCTCCCAAGATGCGACCACGAGAACTGGTGTTTTGGTAATTTTCACGCTATTGGCCAATTTATGCTTTCAGTTTGTTTAATGCATGCTTAAAAGAATCTCCCGTGCAAAGCTCACACAATCTGAATGGCCTTTTCATTCAAATGCGGACCGCCTGATCAGGAGACAGGGCCACAGAGGTGAAGACTGCGTGCAAGAATCAGCTCAGCTTTCAGCTGTTAAACATTCCGAGATTTATTGTAAAAAGGTTTTGTTTGCATTTAGTTCCCCATATTAAAACAGTCAAATGCAAAGCTGTACTGACATTGAGTGGTTGCAGGATGATGGGGTGGCAGTGGCAGAATCCTATCATTCTTTTTGCTTACAATTATATTATATTTCCCCGCCTGAGAAAAAAAAAAGTTTATCAACAATTTATACTAATAATCACAATGACAGTGACAACTTTAACCCAGTCCCACTGCTAAAGACTTAACAAATATAAAAAAGTTCATTATCATACACTACCAAACTAAACGTCTTAATTCTATAACATAGAAGGGACCCCTATTTTCATGAAATCTGACTCCTTTCTGAAGATTGTGAACCAGATTTTGTTATGCTTGTCTGTGCAGAGTCCATTACGGTTAGGTTTGTATTGCAATCTTGCACGTTTTCTAAACCAAAAAGCACCAGTGATAATGTTGGCAGGTTGCTAAGCAAGAGATCAGATCTTCACCTTTATAGACATTAACATGCAGTGAGACAGATTGCTGTATTCCACTCCTCAGCACCATCTTCCTAAAGTACCGTATTTTTTCGCTCTATAAGACGCACCAGCAGTGGCGTAGCGTGGGGGTGCAGGGGGGGCCGGCCGCACCGGGCGCAACATCTGGGGGGGGGCGCGCTCGCCGCCTCCGGAGTCGCCGTAGAGCCTCGGGCGCAGGCTGTAGCAGAGCCCCATGTCTCGCGGAACCGACGAGCTGGCAGCGGCTCTCAGCGCTTGCCGCGGTCCCCACGCGTCAGGGCCGCGGAGGGCGCGCCAGGCAGCCCCTCCTCACAGCCCCGCCACCGCCGCTGCTCCTGCAGCTGCTGGGCCATGTTGCATTTTCCTCGCCTCTCTGCCCTCCTCCTCCTCTGGGCAAGCGGCGTCATTTGGGCGGCAGCACCAGCGGCAACTCGCCTCAGATCACCTGACACGGACCCGCCGCCGCTGTGGCTACCTTACCGTAAATACCCCAGCCCAGGCAGCAGCAAGAAGAAGCTGGCAGCGGCGGCAGGTTAGGGGTTAGGGGGCGCAAATTACTTGCCTTGCCCCGGGTTAGGAGCGCAAATTACTTGCCTTGCCCCGGGTTAGGGAGCGCAAATTACTTGCCTTGCCCCGGGTGCTGACAACCCACGCTACGCCGCTGCGCACCAGACCACAAGACGCACCTAGTTTTTGGAGGAGGAAAACAAGAAAAAAAATATTCTGAATCTCAGAAGCCAGAACAACAAGAGGATCGCTGCGCAGTGAAAGCAGCAATCCCTCTTGTTGTTCTGGCTTCTGGGATAGCTGCGCAGCCTGCATTCACTCCATAAGACGCGCACACATTTTCCCTTACTTTTTAGGAGGGAAAAGTGAGTCTTATAGAGCAAAAAATACGGTAAATGGGTCTTCAGTTTTACCCCCTGGTAGCTGGTGACAACGCAAGAAGAAATATAAATTACAACAGCCCAACTTTTGGTAAAGGCAAATTTGTGATTGATGGTTTGAAACCTGGCAACCTTTACTAAGGAACACAAATTATCGGGAATAAGTGCACATCATTATATCACCTTAACATGGACTTTTTCAAAAACTGTATTGCAGTTCTGTTTTCATTGCAAAGGTCTGCAACTGCATTGTTTTAGAAACAGAGCTTTTCAAATACCCACCACTCTTATTTGTTATGCTTTACATAACGTTTCTGCACCGTGTGAGCCAAATCCTCTTTCTCCCTACCCATTTGAGTCAAGCCAGTGAAGCGATGGCTGTTCACATCGGTGTTAAATGAAGCACTGAAAATGTTAGCAGTAGGTCACTCCAGGCAATCCAGCTGTTAAAAAGCTATGAAGATGCCAAAACGAAGCAGCTCCAGTGCATGACTCAAGAATCAAACTTTGTTCAGCAGCGTTTAAAAACAAACGCTACAGATGAGAGAATGCAGGTTGTGGCCTTCATTAATCATAATTAGAATGGACCTGCAGTGTGTGGCGGTTTGTTGTAACCGGCTATGAGACCCTAACAAACAGGTTTCGTTTTTCACTCAGGTTATAAATCAAAGCCATCCTACATAGCAATACCAGTTATTTGGGCCTGCTCCACACTTACTTTCCCTCTGCTCTTTCCAGGCATAGATCGCAATTTAAAGTTCCATTCCAGAGCACCTTCTCCCCCCCCCTTTTATTTTTTGCTTTGGAGCTTCCTCCATGAAAACCCACTCCTTAAATCTCAATTGGAGCAAACGTCAATCTGCAGAGAACCTAATTTGATGTTTGGTCTGATCCAGCTTTTAAAAGCGGGTTCTTGCAGGGAAAGCGCAGGACAAAAAATAAAATAAAATGTTTGGACATGCAGTGTTAAAAGATGGACCTGTCTGGAAAGAGTAGGGCAAAATATAAGTGTGTATAAGCCCTTTATCTCAACAGCAAAAAAGACTGTGATCAAAAAAAGGCTTGGCCCAGATGATTTGACTTTTCCCCACCATAGTCTATGGGTCGGAAACCACTCTCTTTTTTTTATTATTAAATTTTTACAAATTTCTCTTTTACAAATTATTCAAACATTTTCATATTTGCCAAATTACAAATTTTTTTACTTCCACCAGCTCCTCCCACAATCCTCATATTTTATATTTATTACGCATTTCCTTTATAATATATTGCGAGTTAATAATATCCTTTCTTCTCATTTTCTTTTACAATACCCTTTCTCATCACAAAGCCTCTTTAAAACCGACTAGCGTTGTCTGTTCATCACAGATATTTTCCAGATAAAGGGTCGGAAACCACTCTCAGGGGTTGGATACAGCAATATCTGGCATGTTACAGCAATAAATATTTTGATCAACGTTCGGAGAAAACAGCAAAGAATCTTTTAACACTGTAAAGATGAGCAGATTTATTGGGAAATAAGGTAGTTCGAAAGCATGTCAAGGTGCAAGTAGATAAATAGGTACCACTCCGGCAGGAAAGTAAATGGCATTTCCGTGTGCTGCTCTGGTTCGCCAGAAGCGGCGTAGTCATGCTGGCCACATGACCCGGAAGCTGTACACCAGCTCCCTCGGCCAATAGAAGAGAAGAAGAAGAGTTTGGATTTGATATCCCGCTTTATCACTACCCGAAGGAGTCTCAAAGCAGCTAACATTCTCCTTTCCCTTCCTCCCCCACAACAAACACTCTGTGAGGTGAGTGGGGCTGAGAGACTTCAGAGAAGTGTGACTGGCCCAAGGTCACCCAGCAGCTGCAAGTGGAGGAGCGGAGACGCGAACCCGGTTCCCCAGATTACGAGACTACCGCTCTTAACCACTACACCACACTGGCACTGGCAATAAAGCGAGATGAGGGCCGCAACCCCAGAGTCGGCCACGACTGGACCTAATGGTCAGGGGTCCCTTTACCTTTACCTAAGGTTTGTAGACTAGAGAACACTTTTTTCAAATGCAGTTATGGAAACTTATGTCAACAGTCCTAGTAGTATTCAAGGTGCCATAAAGCCGGTGTTTTTTCTGCAACAGACTTAAGACAGCTTCCCCTCTGGAATCCAGAGAATATTTAACAGGTTTATATCCCAGTGGAATCAAAGAGAACCAAGCAATTAATTCTTCCATTCTGTTTATTTCAATGGGCTACATATGTACCCAATTATCTCTGGATTGTAGCTGAAAATTCTCCCTCTGCGCCATTCCATTACAAATTAACTGTGAGACTTTCTGCAATACCCACAAATCATCTTAGAACCCCCTCCCTCCACAATCAACCAGGCTATTTAACAGTACCTCTGGTTGACCTCAGTTTTCCAGTTCATGGAAAGGGAGTACATATGGTCCGCTCTTAAAAAGGTTCCTGACTTCTGTGTTACAATACATGGCATGTGAACAAATAGGTCATGAATTACAGAACAGTATTAGATAATAATATGAAACCTGAATCCTTATATTAAAATAGAGCCTGAATTGTTTTGTGTTTGTATTTTCCAATGCACGTTGGGAGGGATCTAACTTGTAGGAGCAGTGATTTAGGACACCTTCCAGCTAAAGCTTTAGTTCTGTATTTCAGCTGGAGCAATTTCATCGTAAGCTCAAGACATAACATGCACATGGTCTGCCCGTTTTCTTCTCACAACAACGCTGTGAACTAAACTTCCAAGGCTGAGTGAAGTCCTAAACCACTACGCAAACAACTACAGTGGTACCTCGGGTTACATACAATTCAGGTTACATACTCTGCTAACCCAGAAATATTACCTCAGGTTAAGAACTTTGCTTCAGGATGAGAACAGAAATCATGCTGCAGCAGCGCAGTGGCAGCGGGAGGTCCCATTAGCTAAAGTGGTGCTTCAGGTTAAGAACAATTTCAGGTTAAGAACAGACCTCCAGAACGAATTAAGTACTTAACCCAAGGTACCACTGTAAACCACTGGCTTAGCTCTCACTGAAATCAATGGGAATTTAACTGCCTTTCTGTAACATAGTTTCTTATGTTGCTAACTACAGTGGTACCTCGGGTTAAGTACTTAATTCGTTCCAGAGGTCCGTTCTTAACCTGAAACTGTTCTTAACCTGAAGCACCACTTTAGCTAATGGGGCCTCCTGCTGCCGCCGCACAGCTGGAGCACGATTTCTGTTCTCACCCTGAAGCAAAGTTCTTAACCCAAGGTACTATTTCTGAGTTAGTGGAGTCTGTAACCTGAAGCGTATGTGTCAGGGGCTCAGGAGCAGAGGCACAGGGGAGAGAGGAAATGGAGAGCGAGGGGGAGGAATCTGAGGGCAGCGGAGGGCAGAATGACAGTGACCCGAGAGATTCCATGAGCCTCTCCAGTGAATCAGAAGATTCCCAGAAGGGGGCGTCGATGGCCAGGGCAAGGGGGGTCCCAGGGGGGACACACCAGAAACAGGGGGCCAGCGGAGACTCCCAAAGCAGTAGCTGGAAATCAGGGCCAGCTTCCCCACCAGAGCGTAGTGGGGGGGAAGAGTCCCATAGGTCAGAGTCAGCGTCTCCTCCGGCAAGCAGGGAGGAGGAGTCAGGCCCAGCTAGCGTCCCCGAAGAGGGGAGCAGCGACAGGAGCAGTATAACGGTCAGAAGGAAGGTGGCAGGCTGGGCGCGCGCGCCAAGTTCAAATGTACAGGCGCGCGGGACAGC